TTATTATTATTATATATATTATATAAAAAGTTAACGATGCATTTGCGCCTAATATCATGGATTAAAATGATATATATTATTAATTTTTTTATAATTTAATATTATTATTTTCTAACACTATATATAAAAAAAGGAAAAAAGACAACTAACTTCATTTCCGTCCATACGATAATAAATGCAAGTAACGAGATGCGTGAATATAAATTTTGTTAGATTATAATATTTGGTAAAATTGATTTAACAAAACAAATTTTTCGCATAGCGTTGCTTGAATAAATACTTAGATTTAATAACGAATTATGTTCTGTAGTATTAAGGAATTTCATACGAAATATATATATTCTCGATATTTTTTAATAATGGATCATCTTTTTTTCTTTTTTTTTCTCTCTTTATCTTTTAATCAACGATATATTAAATGCGCTATACACTTGATAAATACCAAACACTCTCTTAATACAAAACGCATTATTTTATATTAAATACAATTCTTATCAAATCAATCTTTATCAATATTTTTAGATAATAGGATGGGTTGACGAACTTGTTTAATCAATTGATACTATAAAGGATTATCCAATAATTGACTTTAAACATACAAGAGAAGTACTTTAGACGAGCTTATATATAAAACGAACTAAGCTCTCAGAGATTAATAAGTAATATATCACCGATGAACTTATAATATCTATATTATCGAATAAGGTAAGACGCATTAGAATTTTGGTTCGATTAAAAACACTTTTAGATATTATTTAAGGAAAAATATTTCTTTTACATACCAATAATATATATACTACTATCGATAAAAAAACATTAATTAAATGGCAACTGGCAAAAATGATATTTCTTAATCGAGACAATTGATTGCAATTAATTTTATTTGTGACACACATTCGTATACATATGCAGAGAAATATACAAAAATTTTCATTCGTTTTACATACGTCGATTAGTTGTGTAATACCGTGATGACAATAATAATAATAATAGTAGTAAAAAATAAAAAAGATTAAAAAAACGAGGGCAGTAAAACAATGAGTTCGCAAAGATCGAGGTTAACTAAAGTGATCGCAATAATACACATAATATTATGCTGTGTTATCCTTGTTCTATATGCACCCAAACAATATAATGTTCATTAACCTTGATATACATTTATTTTTTTAATTTCTAAAAAATGGGACAAAAATAATTGTGAAGGGGAAAAAAAATAAACACACACAAATAAGCATGCAAACAATTTTCTTAAAATACTTCACCTGGTTAAAAAAATGATAGAATAAGAAACCCATAAAAAAGAAAAAGGAAATAAATTCAAGGTCTGAGTTTAAATACCCAACATCGAAAATCAGGTTTACATATTTTTTATTTTAATGGAATAAATTTGCCTATATTTAAAAAAGCTAATATTTTTTTTTAGAAAAGGATTATAAAATAGTAATAGAAAAAGTTTAAATGCTATAATAGTGAAGCACACCTAAATATAGCTATATAAATAAAAGTAATAAAGTTATTTTAAAAGAGCCTCGTTGATAATGTGTTATACACATCTAGGAAGTAATACTCGAGCAGTTATTACCTTTACTCATAAATGTTTCATAAAAACATTACTAATATTATTTATGTTTATATTCAATAATAATGACAGAATTTACAGCTGTACAGATACTAGCCACATACATACACACGCATGCACAACAGACCATAAATGTTGCACTGTTTGACGAGTTTGCTGGTAGTTGCGTTTGTAGTTCTATTTGAGTTTTACGAATCATTAGTTAACTGTAAGTATTATAAAATCGTTAGATACGTGTATATACCGATACTTTAGATTCAATACACAATTTTTACATACTTTTTTATTAAATTTAATTTAATTATTTATTATATATATTATTATAATAATTATCTATATATATTATAGAATATAAATATTATGTAGCACATTTTTTAAAAAGTATAGAGTTTCATTTTTATACAAATATAGTATTTCAAAATTAAACGTATAACTATAATTATTAATGATTGTAGTGATTTATGTAGATCGTTCGATTAAAATAGAATTATTGATAAAAAATTTTTTTTCTTCTTTCTTTTTCGTCGATTAAAATATCGATCATTGTTTAAGATAAATGACATATAAATTACCTATACGAGTGTATATCAACGGTATTGCAATAGTCTGTTTTATTTCGTGTCATAAGGTATGCCTTCATTTTCTTGTTTTCTTTTTACTCGTGTGAATGTAACTTAAGTATAGTTTATGCGATCTCTCCAAAGATTAAGCTGTAAAGAAACACTGTTACTTGGTATTATTTCAAATTCGCGCGTTTTTTCTATATATCGAAAAAAGTATCATAAACGTTGATTTGCGGATTTTTCGAAGGTTCGTATTGGTTCCTTGTTTTTAAATCAAAATTCTTTTTTATTTAACATTTAATATCTAAAATTATGTACAAATTAATTAAGGTGTTTATTTATTATGTTGTTTTTCTAAGAAGAATGTTAAATTTTATTAGAATAATTATTTCTTTGAAAAAAATAATTTCGAAATTTTTGAACTTTTGGGCGATTTGAATAATCGAATATATCGCGTGTTTTTGGTGAATTTTCAAAATTCGTATTATTTTTTCTGAATATCAAATTATTCTGGGATAATAAATAACTGTAATAACTTAAAAATTAGATAATCATTTTTATTCAGTTTTTCTCATAATATATACATTAAATTAAAATGATTTATTAAAAAGAAAAAAAGTAAAAATTAGTGAATTGTTCAATGTATTGAATTGTTAAATATGGCAGGTATTTAGTAACATCGAATAAATCATTATTGTATTTAGTGTGACATTTCCTTTGTCCGATAGATACCTTCGCTTTTCGATTGCCATTCTGATTTCGTAAGAGACATAAAGATCCGTTGTATATAGATACACATATATATATATATATATTTCTTACTTAGTTATAATACTTTTGATTTCCGGGCTCATAGATTTTCTTTCGAACTTTCTCACGGTTCGCGTTTAAATCACGTGAATAATACATTACGAATACGTATAGTAGTAGTACATATTTATCGTCTTTAGTAATATCCAATGCCATTCATATTCTGTCGTCATTGCGTTTATTAAATTCTTTACTATCTCTTTCTTTCTCGCACCTTCAAAACCACCTACTCATTTATATTACATACTAAGAAAACGAGAGGGGCGAAAAAGATATACATAGGCTGTCTCAAAAGTTATTTTACTATGAAAAGAAAATATTGAATCAAAAATTAATATTAGTTTATTAATATAATTACAATATTTTATTATTTACTAAATATAAGTTGTCCTAAAAATTGCTTAACCAAGAAACTAAAAAAACAACCGAAAAAAATCAATTTATCAATTGATTAAATTAATTTATAATTTCTCAAACGATAAGGCAACTTTTGGAATAACCTGTATACACATTACATGTAGACAATTTACAAATATATCTGTACATATTCGCATAGATAAAATTATCTTGATTAGAAGAATATAGGATAAGATATATGAAAACATAATCGAAGAACACGCCTAAGTAAGCGATTGGAAAGCTTTAGAAGATACGAAGATTTTATGTAGATATATTCATATTTGTTTCTTTTTTCTTTTTTCTCTCTCTTTCATCTTAATACAGGAGCAAATATTCTGCTAGAAATTAAGATAACAAAATAAAATACTTTTTTTTTTATTATTCCAATAAAATTCATTGTACAATCGATTTAAAAATTAGTAAGTTTGTTCTTTTTTGTAATTTCCTTTTAATTTTTTCTTTTTTTTTGTAAAATCGCTTTACACTTCAATTATCACTTTCTCTTTGCTCCACATATATAAATATAATTGCGTTTTCGATCACGTTTGAAAATCATTTTGTTCATATATTTAAATTAATTATTTTAAAATAATAATTACAATATTGTTCTCTACCTACATGTATTTAAACACACTTAACATAACTTACCAACCAGCACATATACATACAGAAATTCTTGCCATTTGACGGGAGTATCTTGTATAACCTGTCAAAGAATAAATTCAAGAAAGAGTAAGAGAGATAGAGAGAATACGATGGGCAATTAAAAATGGAAAAGAAAAAATTTGTGAAGGTAAACGAAAAAAACGAGCATTAAACAGGTACTTTGTACCTTTCGTACTCGTACTATCGAAAGGAGGAAAGAGAGAGAGAGAGGGAGAGAAAAGAAAAAACAGAATGTGCAATATGCCGGCGATGAATCTCACAACTATTAAAAGTGATAGTTGTATGTTTATGTGTTTCGTATGTTTGTGTGAGGAAACCAGTGAACACGAGTTTAAACGATAGTGGTTGTGTATAAAAATGAAATGGGGCATTGGGTGAAAGTGCTCTTGGCTTGGAAGTCTTATATCAGATCAGTGTGCCAGGAGCAGCATAAGATGCCTATGGAGATCTTGTCTTCGTCCTGATGACGAGATCCCATTGCATTTCTAATCCTGTGTCTCTTTAAAGAAAAAAAAAAGATAACAACAAACATATATATTTTATAATTTCTCTTTTTTTCTAAAATTATGCAACCAAAATCACTTTGTAGTATATTTCATTAAAGTTTGTTCATTAAATTGGATTAAGAGAAAGAGAGAGAAAAAGAATAATATATACAAAAAATAAAGTATTAAAACGTGCATAGTATTTGCAGAAATGGTGCTAAAGGTGTGGATATGGTGCTTTCTTGTGTCAGCAAGTAATGTGGTAATAGCTTTGGAAAATGGATTAGCTAGGACGCCACCCATGGGATGGTTGGCATGGGAAAGGTTCAGATGTAACACCGACTGCAAAAATGATCCTGACAATTGTATAAGGTAATGTACACTTTTACTTTCTTCTTTTTATGTCCAACACAGTTACATCGACATGCTTAGTTTGAAGATTTTGTTATTATTCTTTCTTCATTTTAATTTATTTGATTTTATTTTTATGGTTAATAATGTTAATCAGATAGATGTGTATTTGGTAAATGTTATATTTATACGTTTTATTATTCAATTCATATTTTTTATCATTCTTATTTTATATACACAAATTTTTATGACAATAAGTAAATTAATTTAAGATTTATTTGCGACAAATAATATTTGATATTACAATTAATTGTTTATATATTTCTATGTTTTTATTATGTTGGAAAGTTTGCTTATTTTTTATTGATGTTATTTATTGTTTTATATCACAGCGACCAACTATTTAGAACAATGGCCGATATAGTTGTAGCAGATGGATATGCAGCAGTAGGATATGAATATATTAATATAGATGATTGTTGGTTAGAGAAAGACCGAAGTTATGATGGTCAATTGGTCCCAGATAGAAAACGTTTCCCATATGGAATGAAAAATTTAGCCGATTATGTAAGTTAACAAATCTTTTCTATGTTATGTTAAAGAATTTTAAGATCGGACTATTAAATCTTTACAAATATATAAAGTAATTTTTAGAGCTTTCTTATATCAAATATTATATCATCTAATATTGTTACTATTATTTATGGTATATTTATTCGTTCAGATTCATTCGAAGGGACTTAAATTTGGAATTTATGAAGATTTTGGCAATTACACGTGCGCTGGTTATCCTGGAGTAATCGGACATCTAGATACTGATGCACTGACCTTTGCATCTTGGGATGTAGATTATGTAAAATTAGATGGGTGTTATGCACATCCATCAGAAATGGACAGAGGTATGTTAACATGAAAGCATTAATAATAAATGTTTATTCCAATAAAATAAAATGTCCTTTATTTTACTCTAATTTAATGAAATAATTAATATATACAATTTCAATTATATTAAAATAAACATAAACTGATCATATCATTTAATATTTCAGGATATCCCGAATTTGGATTTTTTCTAAATCAAACAGGAAGGTCTATGATATATTCGTGCAGTTGGCCTGTTTATCAAATATATGCTGGTATGAAGGTCAGTATTATAAATTTTATATAATAATATTCATGATTTTTCTTTCATTTTTTTTTTTATTTTTATAAAACAATTTAATCATTTTTCCAAGCTTATCAATTTCTCAAATATTTTCCCTTTAAAGTTTCTTTCATTTTAATAACAATGTTGTACATTTTGCTGCTTTTTTATTTTGATTTTCTTTTTCTTTTTTCCTTCTTAACAAGCATAAAACTAACTCTGTCTACACAATGGCATACCATGTCGTTAGTCCTCTGTTACGGGTACACCCCACTCTAACCCTCTCTCTCTCTAGCTGTGATCACCATAATCTTGACTACTACGCGAAGAGAAGCTATGGATTGATAAACACGAGATCGGCAGCGAGTGAGAGTGATGGAGTGGGGAGAGAGACTATCATACACATTATGGATAACTCCATACAGAGAAAGAGAAAGAGAATACTATACTTATGTTAGGAAACGAGAGGTGTACACTGAGAGACACACACATATTATTCAGTTACACGAAAAGAACTAAATTACTTGAGAATAATAACGAGCATAATAACAGTCCCATATACTTTTCCTCTCGGTTGACAGTAAAAGTACAAGTTATTAGGAGAATCTTACTATACTTTCATTCATTTAATTGTCTGTATTCATATAGTTAATTTTAATTCATAATAGACATATATATATATATAATGTAACTATTAATTAATTCAATTTTTAGCCGAACTTCACAGCGATAATAGAACACTGCAACTTGTGGAGAAATTTTGATGACATACAAGATTCGTGGCACAGTTTAGAAACTATTATCGATTACTATGGAAACAATCAAGACTCTATTGTACCAAATGCTGGACCCGGACATTGGAACGATCCTGATATGTTAATTATCGGTAATTTTGGTTTAAGTTATGAACAAAGTAAAACTCAAATGGCTCTGTGGGCGATTTTAGCAGCACCTTTGTTAATGTCGGTTGATCTTCGAACGATTAGACCGGAATACAAAGCTATTTTACAAAACAAGAAAATAATTGCTGTCGACCAAGATCCACTTGGTATACAAGGTCGTCGTATATATAAAGTTAGTAATTTAATTTTACATACTGAAATTGAATATATTGCATTTTTTAATAAAATATTGATTTATTTTTGTAGCATAAGGGTATTGAGATATGGGCACGACCAATAACGCCGATACATCAATCGTATTATTCTTATGCGATAGCATTTTTAAATAGAAGAACAGATGGTACACCTTCGGATGTTTCAGTCACATTGAAAGAACTCGGTTTACAATTCCCTGGAGGATACAAAGTAGAAGTAAGTTATTAACATTAAAATTTATCACTTCCTTTTTTAATATGCAAACATAAATACTTATGATATGAATATTTCTAGGATTTATATGAAGATGTGAACTATGGCGTCTTATTGCCACACACAAAGATCAAAGTTAAAGTTAATCCATCTGGTGTAGTTATTTTACGATGCGATTTACAACTGGATGACATCTATGCATCAAGTCATTATACATCTTTCGAGCCTTTAAATCAAGTTTTCAAAGTTAGACAAAATCCATATGAAGAATGATTCTTTTTTAAAATCTTTTTATTATATACACATTTGACCATACAATGATAATTTCCCAAAATAGGAAGTAACAAAACTTACATAAGTCTTAAATTTATCGAGAATGTTAGAAAAAAGCATTCTTTTGCAAAAGAAAGTAAATTTTACACTCTATGATATATACATAATGAATTTATTCTTACAAATATTCTAAACTCATTGATGACATCATACATATTCATGTAACATTCTCTAGCATTTTTACATATTCAATCTTTTTGCGATAAGCACCACGCATACGCATTGTCAAAAATACGTTGCCAGGGGGACCTTTCATAATTCCATTCTACAGGTTTCCAAGGCCATTGCCACATTTGTGTGCATCTTTCTGGATGCGGCATCATAGCCAAATGTCGACCATTCGCTGAACATATTGCAGCTATACCCTCTGAAATTAAAACAATTCATATTTTATAATTTTTTATGAATAAGTTTTTATATATATATATATATATATATATATATTATTGTAATATTATATAAAACTTAATATATATATATATATATATATATCTCAACCCACCTATACTACCGTTAGGATTGAACGGATATTTTTCAGTGGTATTACCACAATCATCAGTATATTTAATAGCAAGACAATTTGATTCTTTCAGCGTCCGCAATAATTCGCTGTTACGGAATGTAAATCTTCCTTCACCATGTGCGACCCATACACCAAATACACTACCCTCCATTCCTTGCAGCATGATGGACGGTGATTTTTCTATCTTAATATTACTCCACCGACATTCAAATTTTTCTGATATGTTATGATCTAAGATAATACTTGGTTCTTCTTTATAGCCTGTAATCATAAGGTAATCTTTAATATTCGCATGCCAAAATTTTCTATTTTTCTATATAGTGTATCAATTTACCATTATCTTTTCCAATCCATCCTAACAAACTCATTAATTGACAACCATTGCACACTCCTAAACTAAACGTGTCTTTAGAATTAACAAATGTTTCTAATTGTTTTTCTAACAGAGGATTAAATTTCAAACATGCCGCCCATCCTTTTGCAGAACCTAATACGTCTGTAAATAATTTGCATTTATTAATAGAATATTTATTAATATTCTCTCTTATTATTAATTATTTTATTAAATGAGCATGATACCTGCGTAACTAAATCCACCAGGGAAAATAACACCCTTGAATCTATCAAACGTGACATCATTGGTTAACAAATCTTGCATCGTTACATCCCAAACTTCAAAACCTGCTTGTTCCAAAGACACGGCCATTTCTCTATCTCCGTTTATACCTTCCTCACGAATCACAGCAACTTTTATATTAGCTGTAATACAATTTAAGATATTATTGTTATATGCATACACGTAATAACGTTATTGTAAAAAATCCATATATACTAATTTACAATAACACTTACAGATTAACAATTTTTCTATCGAATGAGGCTTACAGTCAGGATCAAACGTTAATTTATAATCAGGAATAGTTCTTTCTTTCAGCCCGTTGAATTCTTCTTGAGCGCAATTAATATTAGTTTGTCTACCTTCTAGTTGATAACTTGTTTCTTCCCACATATACATTAATGGTAGTATAGTAGTATTTAATACTATCTTTCCATTTACTTTAAAAGTCACCTATAGAATAGAAATAATCATTGAATTCAATAATACATAATAAAAATTTTGCGAAAATGAACATGTTTAAATTATACCTTCGATTGAAATCCTAAACCAACAGATTTTCCTATCGAATATACTGGAACGTTGAATTGTTTAAATACATTCATTAAATATTCGTAATTATTTTCTTTTATTTCTAAAATCCATCCAACTTCTTCACAAAATAAAATGTCGATAGGCGATCCAGATTTATGTGAAATATTAATATCCAATCCAGATATTCCAGCAAATGCCATTTCTAATATACAGGTGATCAATCCTCCGTCACTTATATCATGACCAGCTAATATTTTTTCCTCTGTGACACATTATTATTATTATTATTATTATTATTATTATTATTATTATTATATGTACATATATATTTATTAATTTATTTAAATAAAATTTATATGTATATATCTTTTAAAGACATTTACCTTTGATCAATTTTTGTGTAGCATTAAATGCATTTTGTATTAAACTTGCATTATTCACGTCTGGTGCATCGTTACCAAGTTGTTTGTAGACTTGTGCTAAAGCTGTCCCACCAATACGACTTTTTCCATTGGATAAATCAACATAAATTAAATGCCCTTTCATTCCAGTTGAAGGTGCTTTTAAATCAGGTGTTATCACCTATTAAAATGCAAACATTAAAACATGCATACCGAAAGTAATAATAAAAAAGACATTGACTCACTTTTCGTATGTCAGGACATGGTGCATAACAAGAAATAACGAGTGTTCCTGGTGCCTTAACAATATTATTTCCTACACGTGCAGCCATACTAAGAGAATCTTTACCACCATCTGCAGCTATACCAAATTCTTTCATAACAGAACACAAAGCGTTACACGCTTCATACATAGCTGCGCCTTCGCCCGGCAATTTTGCGGCCCACATCCAATTTCCACTACATTTAACATCCTAAAAATAAAATCATATGTTTGATTGTGTATTAATAATACAAGTATATTATTAATATATTAAATACCTTAATATCTGAAATTGCAGCAAATACTAAATTACTCAAGGCTTCTGCCACTGTCATACGCGCTCCTGCAGATGCATTTACAAGACCTTTTATCGGTTGTTCGCCAATCGATGTTGCAATTCCATGCTAAAATAATATGTAAATAAATTTTTTTATCAATGTTTCCTAGAAATAGAAATGATTAATTGCATTTTCTTACCGACGAATACATTGAAATAGATGTTACAGCAACATCAGCTAAAGGAGTATGCAATGGGCCAACACATTGTTGTTGTGCAATTAATCCAGTGACGCAACGATCGACTTTATTTACTAAATAACGTTTACTAGCAACTGCAGGCAAACGTAAAACTCTATCGAGAATTAAATTCACGGTCAAGTCATTAGGCAAACAGATCGGTGATAAATGCAACTGTTTTCTTGTAAGATTATATGTCTACAAATAATAAGTACATTTTTAATTATTAAAATTTCTTTTAATATAGCATTTATGGATATATTAAATTAAGTAAATAATTTAAATTTTGTTTTCTTACCTTTTGTGGCATTTTTCCAAGTACTAATTCAAGTTCTAAATCAACTGGATGCTTTACATTATTTTGTTCATATTTGGATAAATCAAAGTGATCATCTTCTGAAAGAATAATTTTTCCATTTCCAGTTACTTTCCCAACAAAATTTATGGGACATTTTTCACGTTTTGCTATTTGATTGAGTAAATCGACGTCCTTTGGTTTACAAAGAATAGCATCATTTTCTTGATATTCTGCACCCCATAATTCTAAGGTATTGATACTAGGATCACCCAGTTCAAATTTCTTTGTAAATATTACAGCTCCAGCTGGTTCAACTAATTCCTTTAATACATTTCCTAAATATAAATAATTGAATATAATTATATGCACATATTATTATAATAATATGAAATATACTAATTGGATACTATTTACCATTTCCTCCTGCACCTTGATCATGAATGCTGAGAATTGGATTATTTGTATCTAATTCCCCGCATGCACGAATTAATCGATTTAATTTTTGTTCCATTTCAGCATCGCCTCTTTGTACTGCTCCAAAGTCTAAATCCGATTTGTTATCACCTTGCACCTATAAATTATTAAACGTGTAATAAAATATAAAAGATACATTAATGAAATAATTTATTTGCAGAAAACATACTTCAACAGAACTTGCTGCACCACCGCCAACACCAATTCTATAAACAGGTCCTCCAATTTTTACGACTTCCATACCTATAAAAAAAAAATCAAATATTTTTAATGTAACTTATACAATATTTTCATTTTTATTGCTTACCTTTTTCTGGTAATTCTTTTTTTGTCATATTTGCGTCTACTGTACCAACACCTCCAGTAAACATTATAGGCTTTATCCATTCTCTTCTAACATTTTCGTGATCCAGCATACCAAAAGAACGTGCAAAACCGGATATAATTGGCTCTCCAAATTTATTTCCATAGTCAGATGCTCCGTTACTTGCTTCAATTATAATTTGTAACGGCGATGCCATATTACTGGGATAATCCCATTCTTTTTCTTCCCATGGTAAATTATAATCTTTATAAAAAAAAGAAAATATATCAGAGATATAATTATGATACGATTATATATATTTTAAACAATTTTTTCACACACATATATATTAGATAAATAAGAAACCTGGTATGAGAAGATTTCCAACACTGTATCCTGCAGTTCCTGCAATATAATAGCCTCCTCTACCAATAGCCTGTATATCTCTTATACGTCCTCCTGTTCCTGTCGTAGCACCGCTGAAAATTTTATTTATTCGTCATAAAAAGTATAAAATGAATTTAATAATTAAATACAGAATAAATAAATAATTAAAATTTTGTTTTTACCTGAATGGAGCAACACCAGTTGGAAAATTATGTGTTTCCGCAGTAAATATTAAATCTTGTTTAACTTTCTTTACATTAAAATGACTACATTTAGATGAGTCAACTGGTCGCAACAAGTTTATTTCATAGCCTTTAATAGCACTGCTATTATCGCTAAATTTAATAACATTATTTGGATTCGAATAATTTTGTGTGTCAATGATCATATCGAGCAAAGATCGCTCCTTTTCTTTCCCATCAATAATCATTTTTCCTTTAAAAAACCAATGTCGACTATGCTCGCTGTTTGATTGTGCCAAGTCAAAACATTCAACACTAGTTGGATTACGTTTAAGTTTATGCAGAAACAAATCTGTGTAATAATCCAAATCCCAATCATCAAAAGCCAAACCTATACCATGAAGAAATAAATCATTTTTTAATAATTCTTCATTTTAATTTATTAAATCTTTATTGTATATTTGAATTTAATGACGTTTACCTAAGTGACAGCTTACTTCCTCTAAGGCTTTTCTTCCATACGTTAATATCTTTACTTCAAACCATTTTTCAGGCTTAAATCCATGATCAAAACTTTCTATAGGTTTCATGTATCTACATTCTGTCATCTTATCATGTAAAACATCTACGATCTACAATAACAAAAATTCATTATGTTAAGTATATCATATGTTTATTTTTATATTTTATCACATAAAATTAAAATTGATGAAACTAATTAATATATTTACATACTTTAGATTCTGTATCATGGTTCAATGTACCATTGTGTATGATACAATATCTGGTAGATACTTCTACTCTAGTCACTTTATCCAATTGTATCGATTTGCATATGGATACTACGTTGCTTGAAAATGCAGTAGAAAAATTCAATCTGTAACAAGGTATCATTTATTAGTTATAATAAAACTATTATCTTTTAATAGAAATAAATAATTACCTTGGACCAATTTCGATAATGGTAGTTGAACTGTTATCTTTGTCAAATGCACTAACATTTTTCAATGTATCTGTTTCTATGGGCGAATCCAATAGCCATTGTAACAAGTCTAATTCTTTTTCATTTAATTTTTTGTTAACTTCAATGTAATAGCATAATTCAGTTTTAAGATCACTCACTATACTTGATAATTTATTGATATCATTTAATTTCTTTTTCAATTGAGCTGATTTTAATCCAGATAGTTTATATAATTTTATTATAGCCATAATATAAATATTTATATAAAATCAAATACTAATTAAAAATTCAGGACACTATATAATACTCTTTTTACCGCGTGGTTAAGATCTTCTGATGATTGTCGTCTCGTCGCTTAGTTTTAATAATTTATTGTAAATGAAATATACGTTAGACCCCCCAGCAAGTTTTTTAGATGAAAATAATGCAACCTCGTAAAGATATCAGTAATTGAAGATTATATTGCAAAATACTAATATTTTTTATTTTTCTTTTGTAATTTTTTTATCAAAGCAACTATTACGAGGTCATCAAGGTTATCTACATCTCACATATTACAATATTATTTCAACGATTAACGTCATATTCTATTTTTTATTGTGCTTGTTAATATTGTTATGGCATTATTGTTCGCAATATTGTTTGCGTTATGATAAAATAATATTATTTTCCAGAAATAAGAAAGTTGAAATTTAAATTTACTTAATAGAAGTCATGCGCAGTTAGCTGTTATATATTAATTGAATACAACGTGGAAATTTCTAACAACGGTCACATAATTAGACATATTACTTAGAAAATTATTAGAAAATAATTAGAAATATGTAACATATATAGTAAATATTTATTAAGGTACATGTTTCTAATTATTTCTACTTTTTTATTTTATAGTATAAATAACGAAGCTATATATAAGGAGACCGATCGAGATAGGCATTTGCGTCAAATTTATGTTGTTGAAAATGACTGAATATCGCGAGTACGATAATTATCCATGAGTTCTTAAGTTTAGATTTAAGTATGTGTGATTTTATAAATAAACAAATGAAATTAATAGTTCTCTTTGATGTTTTTGTTTTAATTACTGTTTTTAAAAATCGGACCAAGCGACTAGACGCGCTCCTCTCTAGTGGCAATAGAAATCATCCTTCATTGTGAATATTGTACCCACATTTATAACACGGCGATCGTCCTCCTTGTATATAAGCTCCATGGTATCAATATTCTATTTTGCAATTTCATTGAATATTTTCTTCACGATTTTTTTAATCAAAATCTACACGATAGATCGTTAATGGAATTGATTATTGCGCCATTTATTTCGAAGATGTGATTGATCGAGAAGTGAAATATTCTGATTGGTTAAGAAATGAATTCGTCATGACAGAATCAAAGTGGCGCTTTCTTCTGTTAATGAAATTTTGTTAGAGCAGTGTTCTCTCCTTTAAAGTTTTTTTCTATGGGGTTTAAATGTTTATGGGCGTATCTTGATTCCTGTTATTATTTATGGTTAAACTGTACAGACGCAAAGATGTATTCTTGAAGAAGACAGTTGCCTAAAGTAAATTAATATGATGATATCGAACATCAACAAATAACAAATCGGTTATTACATTTAAAGTAGATATTTGTGAATTCTGTACTTTTTCCTCGTATATATGGATACGGGCAACGGGCAAAAGCCCTCAAGTGAGTCTATGCCTGTTAAATTCGGGTATGGGGATTGTTGTTCACGTGATTGCCATCGCGCGAACACATTCCTTTTGTGGTGTTTGTGCGTTTGTATGTATCAAATTTATATTTCCATTTTATTATTTCTACGTATTTCACATTTCAATTTCATTCTAAGAAGAATTAAAATATGGCTTCTTGTTATAAGACAATAACATAAATGAAATTAATTTGTGTGTATGTGAGTGTGTATGTAGAATTTATATTTCCACTTTATTGGTTCTACGTACTTCACATTAAAATGTTATTATGGAAATAATTAAAAATGAACGTTTTTATATAATAAATAATTTATTACAGATGGGCAACCACTTCCTAGTACCAGTGAAACAGGTGTGGATAAGGGAAATGAATGGCAAATGGAGCTGATGATGGAGAAATTGCGGTCGAAGGCATCAGGATTTAAATCTTTAATCGAGACTGCAAAAAATTTACGTATGACTATGTTGGTGAGTTATCCAAAAAATCTATTACACTTATTTCTTATTGTCATTTATTAATATTATTGTTATTATGCCAGGACAAACGATTTGCTATTGACAGCGTTGAAAAAAATCAACTGCAAAAATGTTTAGACACTTTACAGCATTCCATAAAAGTTACATCCTTGCAATCTATGGTAGAACGTTTGGAAAGTTTAACAAGACAATTAGGGTATTGTAGTACAATATATATACAAGATATCTGAGGTTCTTCTAACCAAATGATACAAGCGTATTCTATGCATGAAAATAATAAAACATTGTTGTATAAATATAAATCATTTGGTCGGAAAAACTTCAAACATTCCGTATATAATTTTTCAGCAGGTTTTTTACAATTAATATTTTATTATAGGTTAAAATTCATGATGTCAGGACCACCAGGTACGGAGCTTTTTATATCATCGGATATGTTTTTCTTAGAAGTTCTTTTGGAAACAACAGGCGTTGTCAAAGATGTTAAAATTCATCATGAAGGAAAGAACGAGCAACAAGTAAAATAATAATTCTATGATTATATAATATTTCTAACAAAATATTACATAACTTATATAAAAAAAAAATGAATAATTGCAGAGTTGTGAAGTATTGGCTTCTTGTTTATCCCGTGGCGATTTTGTGGATTTTACTACACAACTGGAAGGCTTGGCTTCTATATATCAATTAAATGCGGATAAAAAAGTTAAATGCAAAGCATTTAGTGCTTTACAATCTTTGGAAGCCGATTTAGGCGTTTTGGCACAACTTCAAACATTTATGAAGGAACCTTTTAATCTCGTTCACAAAAGTCCAGTCGGTTAGTACCTATTTTATTATTTTATATAGAAATATTCTTTATTATATTAAAGATTTTTTCGTTAAAACTATCTTATTATTTTCTAGGAATTTTAGAAAGACGAAAAGGAGGACATCCTATGAAATTAACATATTTTGTATCACCCTATGATTTAATAGATCAAGAAAATCGTATTTGTGATGTTTTAAATTCCGAAACTGTTATTAAAAGAAAAATTGGCCATTCTGTTACCGTTTGTATGGAAGGTTCAACTGCTCACAAGCTGCCTACTACTAGTATCATAACTGTAAATAGAAGTAATACAGGAAAAAGGTAATTAATCTTTCCTCATGTTAAAGGTAATAAAATAAACAGAGAAATGAATATTAATTTATATTTATAATAATTTTCTAGCACTCCATCGTATGCTCCCTTGACTGGAACAAATTCATCAATGTTACCTGCTTGTTTTGTATTAAAACTTACTAAAAAAATGCCAATGTGTATGGAATTAGTAAGACGGATACAAAAAGTAACAGAATTAGAATGTGCTGATGTATCCTCGCCTCATTCCTTGTTAAGCTTAATAGTACAACATGCTAGTGATGGATCTTTGGATGGTCGAAATAATAGAGGACTTTATGTTGTAAGTATTCAAACAAAATGCATTATATTTTAATAGATAAATAAAATAAAGTATTAGTATTCACATGTGAAATATTTTTACAGACTTTGCCGGATCAACATCATTGTTATTTCATGACGGAAAATAAGAATATGGAAGGAGTTTTAATAGGCAGTATTCCTTTCACACATCCAGCACATGTTCCACAAATTCTTGTGTATCTACGCCAACAAGCTCTCTTCAATTCTTTAATTTCAAGTTGTGTAAGGCCTATGGCACGTATAGATCCAGAACATACGATAATATTTGAGGTAAGCGCTTTATCATGGCAACAAATATCTATAAGCCTGGAACATCCATTTGAAGAAACAATGGCAACAGCAGAATTAAATCTAACGGACATATCTGCATTGAAATGCAAACTCTATGGTGTAAGCATGATGAATGCAGAACAAATTTCAGATTTAACTGGTAAAGTATTACAAAAATGTCTCAGTATACCATTGACAATGAGAACACTTATGAAGACTTGGGAAGGTCGAAGCGCACTACCAGTTAATACTATGAGCGGTGGAAATGGAAATTACAACACAAATATAGGGCCTGGAAAAGATCAGAATGGTCAGGCTGGTTCTAATATGCCTGACTTCACTAACGCAGACACAAAAATCAGGCAAGAATCTGACTTAAATAATGGAAATGGAACTATTGGACGACAGCAAACTTTACAACAACCACAACAGCAGTCTTTTTTAGATGCCGGAACGGAGAATAGTATCGGGTTTCCGTCATATTCCGGCCAATCCGATACAGCAACTGCTGCTATGCTAAATCCTCTACAACTGAGTGCATTACTGGGCCAAGCGAAAAATTCATTAACAAATACATCCTCTTCGGGTGAAAAGACCAAAAAGACACGCAAAAGGAAAATAGCAGAAGGATTTTGGCGCAGTCCTAAAAGAAAAGGTGAAGATAATACTAATGAAATATTATTAGAAAGTTCAAGCTCTGATTCTACGCCGCTTGGTACTCCAACCAGTGGAAGGGATAACACAAACGAAACTAGAACGTCTACTCCAACTTCAGCTACTAGTTTAACCAGTGGTATTGATTTTACTAATCTCGATCAGGGCGATGTTTTAAGTACTGACAAAAGTTCTGATTACGATTTGGATAATGAAAGTGAAATAGTCGAGGTACACGAAGTACAGGGCGTGGATGATCTTATTAAAAGAGATCGTAAGTCTAAAAAAAGAGAAGAGAAAAAGAGTCCTAATATATTTGAAGAGAATAAAAATCTCGTGCCCCCGTCAGTAAGTATAACACCAATTTCAAATAGTACAGTTGGTCAAACAACAAATTATAATTCTGTACTTACGGGCATGGGCTTAGAAAGGAGACCTGGAATCGAGATTATACCTATAACATCATCGCCGCAAGCCAGTTTACCAAGTTCTATAACAATAACTCCAATAGCAGGACCTACAACAGCTAAGTCTATGACGGAAGAACGTAGAGAAAGAAAAAGTTCTAAAAGTAAATCAACAGAAGATAAAGGAAAATTAGAGAAAAGACGTAAACGTAAAAGGGAAGATAATCCTATGGGACCACCAGATAAATTACCATGCAAGCAAGATCCTTTATCCAAACCTGTTTCCGTAAGCATCAAACCCACCGAATCCCCTCCAAGTGTAGGCTCACGACCACCATCTCCTTCAGCTACAATAAGAAAATTCAGTCCGTCCCCGACACACAGTAGTCCGCTTGTTCTTGTTGGTAAATCAAGTCCCACGTTAAAGCAATCAACGAGTAAACCCGTACAAAGTCCAAAACATTCACCTGTTTATAGCAGTAGTCCTAAACACATGTCAGTACCTGCCAGCGTTAGTCCAAAGCATGGAACGTCTTCACCGAAACATGGTAGCTCAACGAGTACAGGAAAACCAAGTATGTCTGCCCTGAAGTCAGCGACAAATTCTCCTTCCAGCAAAACTAGTGATTCTATATCATCAAAAATCAAGTCTTCCTCGTCATCGTCCAGCAAGGATTCTAGTCGTGATAAGGAAAGGAAAACGTCATTAACATTTGGGAGTACAAGTGGTCATCAAAGTCCAAAGACTAAATCTTCTACTACTAAAGTCAAACAATTGGATATAATACCTGGTACTGAGATTCAATCAACTGCATCTAACAGTGGTGGTAACACACCGCCTTCTAGTAGCTCTGATATTTCCAAGTCGACCATTGCACAACAACAGGCAAGAAATAGGAAGGGTTCTCTTAGTGCAGTTATAGATAAATTAAAAAATGCTCAACATTGTACGGATGAAGGTGGAAATGGCGGACAGAAGACGAGCAGTGGAGGAAGTAGCTGTAGTACAAGTAGTCAAAAGGAAAGAAGTGTTAGTAGTTCATCGACTAAAAACGTTGAGGGAAAATGCGTTATCAAGAATTCATCAATCGACGCGAAAAATCCTGCAGAATATATGGTGAAACATAGTTCAGATGGCATGAAGATAACAATCAATAAAACACGTACAAAGGATTCAAAGTCGGGGACGAGTATAAAACTTTCATCGACCGCTGTTACGTCAGTTACTGGAGTACCTTCTACAACAGTATCGTCTGGTTCAGTAGTAGGAAATGGATCATCCAAAGCTCATACGGGTTTAAAACCTGGCGTAAATTCTGGACCTGCATCAAAGAAGCCACAATCTCATACATCACCCAAATTACCTGGTTCATCTAGTTGTAGTAGCACTAGTGGAAATAGAACTGGCTTGTTAGGTCAAAAAGTCAATTTGTCAGCATTGAAATCAATGTCTGGAGGAAATAGTAGCAGTGGTAACGGGGGGGGAGTTGTTGGCGGTGTTAGTAGTAGTAGCAGCGGATTATTGGGTAAAGGGACCTCAACTTCAAAATCTTTAGGATCACCTAAAACAACAAGTTCGAGTGCGACCGATCTAAGTCGTAATCGCGACAAATTGAGGATGCCAAAGTCGACAGAGAAAAATATATTTGGATCTAAAAGTATGACAGATTCGAGGAAGTCCAGTCCTTCCGGTATTCGCGAGGAAAATGAAAGCGAAAGAGCTTTCAAGTTACTCGCTGCACATGCTTCTATTACTTCCAGTCTACCAAGTTTATCACCACAGCTTGTCGTCGATGGTCTAATGAAGCAACTCGACACCAAGTTTCAAATACCAAAGTTATCTGCGCGAGTTAACGTTGATAACAGCGAGAAGAAATTATCAGAATCTGGAAAGGCGTTGGATAATCTCGCCGCTAAACAAATGGCAGATCAAGTTAAGCTTCAAACTATTTCCAATCCCGTATCGTCGATTGCGAAAAGTAATACGGACGATCAGACGCAGGGTACACAAAACCGACGTGATCACGTACAGACGAAGCCCGACAATCTTACAATGCCGACATCAACGACAGTGCCGATTAACGTTGGATCCGATAGTACAAGTGGTCTTCTGCTGCAACCTCCAGCTGCGGTCAGTTCCCATGATTCTAATGTTCCGACCAACCTTTCGATGCAATCCGTTGACGATTCTCGAGACACTTGTCAGGAAACATCGGTAGGTAGACCTGCCGCGCAATTTTTAAGTAACACGTTGAGCGGTTCTGGCAGTAGTAAGGATGATATTAATAACAGCAATGCCGTCATGGCCCTTCTTCCTAAAGGTTCGGAATCCCTGTGTATATCAAAATCGATGTATCCGCCATTGGCAGGCGGGTCTTCCAATACTACTGGAAACGGTTCAAATGCTGCAAGTTGCACTAACAGCAACACCGAGAGCCTGAATCTGAGTACGAAACCGGCCGAGACTGTGCTAGGTAAATATAACAAATCTGTCGAGGATAAGAAACAGCAGCAGCAGCAACAACAACCATCATCACAGCAGCAACAGCAACAACAACAGCAGATACAGCAACAACAACAGCAGCAGCAACAACAACAACAACAACAGCAGCAACAATTATCACCGTCGGTCGTTTCAACAAGTTCAACAACGATCGGCAGTATGGTCAATAGCGATGTAGGATCAACTATGGTTCCAGTAAGGAACACAACAGAATTGGTTACCTCCAATTCGCAAGAGGCTGCAGAAATGTTATTAGATTTTTCCAGCCCAAATGATACAAGCAAGAATTTAAGCCTTACGTCTATATCAGAAAGAGCTATGACTCAAGCGGCTCCGATAAGAAGGGATACACCACCGCCACCTCCACCAACATTTCCACCAAGTCCGTCTTTGAGCATACACATTGTCAAAAGTCCTGCACCATCGCCTAGAATTATACCGCCGTCCCCACACTCCGCTTCACCTTGCATTACAGACGATGAGCTTATGGATGAAGCTCTCGTTGGTATGGGCAAATGAAGACTACTTAAAATCTAGATACTTAAATTATCTTTTACAACTTTACATGGAATCGTCTCCTCTCAAATCTGCTAATCACGTGACAAAAATTTTCAACTTTTGTTAGATTTAAAAGTCCAGAAGAAGTAAAAGAGAGAGAGAAAGAGAAAATAAGTTACACAAATTGGGGTTGTGTTAAGTGCAAAAAAACAATAAACTTATAAAGGTATTAGTGGAATCTAGTAGAATATATATTATATAATTATTATATATATATATATATATAATATATTATTTGATAATATATTATTATTATTATTATATATATATATAATAATAATAATAATAATAATATATATATAAAATAAAAAATAAAATGTAACAAAAAGAAAATAAACAAAAAAAAGAAGAAGAAAAAGAAAGAGAAATAATATAGAATGATAAATAGGAAATAATTGTAAATGGTAAAATTGTTTAAAAAATGACAACTCCATCTGAGAGTGTTCTATGCTGGTGAATATAATTTTGTTGGATTGTGGGGGCCGGGGTAATCTTGGGAATAGAAGGGCAAGACTAACAAAAATATATGGAATAAAAAAATTAATTTTTTTTCCTTATATATATGTAAAATATATGCAGTTTCATACTACTAATAACTATTATCTCTACCACGCGAGGATCAAAGATGTAATATAAAAAAAGAAAAAGGAAATGAAGGTATTCTTTTAGTTTTGCTGATTAAAGTGACAAAGCAAATATATTTTCTTCCATAGAAGAGATTTTCAATAGTGTTCGATTCGTTATATAAGTGTTCATAAATATATTCTTATCTTTGAACGAAAGTTTAAGGATAAAAAGAAAAAAATAGTTTTTATTCTTTCTTTTATTTTTTTTTTCCTATTTTTTTCTTTTTAAATTCACATTTAGAGATATTAAGACTCAGCAGAAAATCCTGCCGAAATACCAATTTATGACGTCTTCTAAATGTTAGAATATTATTTCGTTTCGAACTTTAAGTACAATTATATATTATATTAATTATACAAATTTCTATTTTAACGTTGTGATTTTCTAAACTAATAAATAAATAAATATAAATATATATATTTGAGGAAATTTCTAAACTATATTATATTTAAAAAAACGATTGTAAGTTCGATGCTAGGTAACAATGATATAATTATTTAAATAAATCTTTAACATTTATTGTAAAGAATTGATATATTTACACTTCAATTCTCTATTATGGATAATAATGGCAGATCAAATAAGAATATCTTCCAAAGTGGCGAAGCAAACAAATTCATAAAATGTTTTTTCTAAAATTATTATACATTATTATAAAATTTATATTTATGTGCCATAAATGTTAAATTAATTCATTAAAATATTGGACGTATGCTTTAAAACTTTTGCAAGATCCATTAAAAAGGATGATTATTATTATTGTTTATTGCGATTCTCAACCATAGTCTGCTGTTGTTGTTCTTAGCTAGGAAAATTAAACATAAATGATACAAATGTAAACAGAGGAAAATATTTTAATTTCAAAGTAATTCAATAAAAAAGCGTTATCGTGACATTTTTGAATAAATCATATTGTTTTTTTTATCCAGATTCTTTTATCCTTTCTACAAAATGTATTAAGAAGGATAACAAATAATGCAAGAAATTTTTATTTAACACGTGAAACAAATATTTGAAAAAAATAAGAACAAAAGTTCAAACAAATGATAATTGTTATTGTATATATATTTAATTTATTTTTTAATTTTAAACATTAACAAACAAAAGTTAATAGTTCATTCATATTTAAGTTTTCAAAAGTTTACCGCGAAACAATTTCATTCGTTAATATTTTATAATAGCTTCAAATGTATCTTACCAGATAGCGCTCTCGTTGAAATTTTTTTATCTGCTTTATTAGTATATACTTGCACGTATATTTAAAAGTAGTAAAGTTTCAAAGATAAAAGAGTTAAATTGTTTATTCGTAAAAAATGTCATTAGAATTTGGAAGAAATCAATTATATCCGATGCATGTTAATGCACGCGTCTCTCCTCACGTGTTTACAGCGATACAAAATGTTAATATCAAAGAATTATCGAAATGTTCGCATAAGGAAATTCGTCCGATCTTACCATGTTTGGTTAGAATGAGTCTTATTACTCCTTTAGATATAACAAAAGAATGCGTCGAAGCTAGAAAAGAAGTTTTATCAATATTATCTGGTATTGAATCAGTTAATTCTATTATTGCGTTACTTTCGATTGATTTTCATGCATTAGAAACTGACGTACGCAAAGAACAACAATTGAGGTTAGGATTGGTTTCTAATTTATATATATTTTATATATTTTGTTAATTAAATGTGTTAAATTGTTATGCGTGAATTTTAATTATTTAATATTTTGTAATAATTTAACATTAACACACACAGTATTTTTTTACTATATATGACATATCAGATTGTCCAATAAGTCCATGCAGTTTTTATCGTTTATTTACTTAGAAAAAAAACTGCATGAACTTATTGGACCTAATATTATAATAAATTAATTTATGCTATGTATTTTTTTTAAGACAAAAATTGGGAGGCATGCAGGCAGACAGCGTATTGGCGCAATCATTGCAGAGCGGTCTTGCATTGGAATTTGAGAGAAGTGAATCTACGCGTAGAATACGTTTGGTATTAAGTGAAATTTTATTCATAATGTCGCAAATACAAGAATTTAGGAAGAATCAAGACTTTCAAATAAAGCAATCTGATTTATTCGACAATGCTGTATATATGGAAGAAATTAGTTATGTCATATGTATCGCACTAGCCGAATTGCCAACACTTTTGTCGATATTGGATATAACAGAGACTCTTTTACATGTGAAGCATGGTCCACATATTATTTGTTGGATCGTAGCTAACAATCCTGATAGTTTTTCCGAAGTTTGCGGACATTTGATAGCTAATGGAGAACGCCAAGAGGAATCAGCATTGGGAAGAATTAGAACGTCAACACTTACAATGCTATGCGAAATGAATCCAAGTCAAGCATTTGCTATAAGAGCAAAGTGCGTGGAATTTTGTAGAATGCCAGCGCTAGCAATTACTTTAAGTTTGGAACACGAACATGCTAATACTTTACAACCAGAAAGCGATATTGTTGCATTTATATCAGGTTTATTACTTGGCAGTGACCAGCAAGTTAGAACATGGATAGCAATGTTTATAAGAAGTGGACAAAAAAGAAAATGGGAGTCTCATACGGCATTGCAACTATTGAGAGAAGAACTGCTCAGAAGATTACAAGCTATAGCTTTACATAGTACAGATAGCCAATTGGATGAGTCGCAAGTTGTTCAAGCAAGCGCATTATTAAGACTTTATTGTGCCTTGAGAGGTATAGGAGGTATTAAATTTCAAGATGACGAAGTTTCAATGATAGTTCAACTTTTAACGTCCCATCCTCCACCATCACCAGCTGGAGTAAGATTCGTGTCTCTAGGACTTTGTATGCTTATAGCTTGTCCTTCTTTAATTGGGCATCATAGTCTTGAAAAGCGTAGTATCGAATGGGTACAATGGCTAGTTCGAGAAGAAGCTTATTTTGAAAGTGCTAGTGGTGTGACTGCTAGTTTTGGAGAAATGCTTCTTTTAATGGCAATTCATTTTCACAGCAATCAACTGTCGGCTATTTGTGAATTGGTTTGCGCGACATTGGGCATGAAAATACCTATTAGACCGAACAATCTAACAAGAATGAAACAAATTTTTACCCAAGAAATTTTTACAGAACAAGTAGTAACTTCTCATGCTGTCAAAGTACCAGTAACTGCAAATTTAAATGCAACTATTCCTGGATTTTTACCTGTACATTGTATACATCAATTATTAAAATCAAGAGCATTTGCAAAGCACAGAGTTCCTATCAAAAATTGGATCTATCGACAGATGTGCGACAGCGTACCACCTTTACATCCGGTTTTACCAGCTTTAGTCGAAGTTTATGTTAATTCTATTTTAGTAACAAATAATAAAACGTCTGAGCACACAAATAAACCAATTACCGAAGACGAAATAAGAAAAATATTTCAAAATAGCGTATTCGGTGCTAATTTCGATTTTAAAAAGAATCTAATGGATATCGTCGAAGGAGAAATGAATAATATGGACATCGATACGTTAAAACCTTCGCTCACATCTCAATTGTTATTGTTATATTATTTGTTACTTTATGAAGATGTTAGATTATCCAATATGCATATATTTATATCACAAGGTAGAAAAGTGAAGTCATACTCAACCGAATTTTTATCTGAACTACCGATAAAGTATCTACTTCAGCAGGTACAAAGAGATCAAGTGAATTATGCTGGTTTATTCTCACCTCTTCTTAGACTACTAGCAACTCACTTTCCACACCTGTCTTTGGTAGATGATTGGCTTGATGATGAGATGATTAACATAGATTCTCCTACTGTAAATTATGAAAGTACAAAAATTACTGATATTTCCATTGTTGAAGCGTTCAGTCATATTAATAAATGTCCGTCGAGAACGGGAAGATTGTTGCGACAATTAATGGCTATGAAGCCAACAGATATTTGGCCACATACGGAAATAATAATACATTATTTTAAAGCTATACTCGACGACAGGGTTCCAAGATATATACAAGGTAAAACTCATATTTGTATATGTGTTTCTTTAATCATTAAAAATTTAATAACATGCTAATAATCAAAAATATAATTATTTTTGCAGAACTTTATAAACAAGTATGGCTAAGATTGAATACCGTTTTACCAAGATGTTTATGGGTTTTATCTATAAATACATTATTAGTTGAAAACATGGTAGTTAAGAATATATTTCTTACACAAGAAAATATTGTATTAGATCCATTACAAGTATTACGTTGTGATACAAGAGTTTTTAGATGCGCACCTGTCTTATCAGTAATTTTAAGGTAAATTGTAAACATTATTAAACATTAAAATCGCTCTCCTAGAAATAGTAATAAAAAAAAGCTATTATGACAGGACAAAGTCCTAATAAAATAAGGAAGAAGGAGAAAATTGATTGAATGATATATTTTAATGAATATTAAATTATTATTCTAGAATTTTACAAGCAGTATTAGCTGCATCGAGATCTCAACTATCCAGACATACGCAAGATAGACCTTTAACAGAAAAAGTTGGTCAATTGTCAAGTGAAACAGAAAGAGAAGATTTGAAGACAGCTTTAATTGCAGGACAAGAAAGCGCTGCTGTACAAATTTTGTTGGAAGCATGTTTAGAAACTAAACAAGATAGACAAATTCCTGGACAGATGTGGTCTTTGAGAGAAATACGAAGTGTTATTTGTTCGTACCTACATCAAATATTTATAGCTGATCCTTCCTTGGCTAAATTAGTCCATTTTCAGGTGCGTCTTAGCAATGTAAACAAATATTTTTAATATATTACAGTTAAATAAACACACATTTCTTTTTTCTAGGGATATCCAAGAGAGTTATTACCAATTACTGTTTCTGGAATCCCATCAATGCATATTTGTCTCGATTGGATTCCTGAATTATTGTCTCAACCAGAACCAGAGAAACAAGTATTCGCTGTCGATTTGGCATCACATTTAGCTATTCAATATGCACTTCCAAAAGCATTAAGCGTTTCCAGATTAGCAATAAATACTTTAATAACTTTGTTAGGAGTATTACCTGCTAAAGATCGAGTATCTCTGTTTATGCCAGTATTACCATCATTGACAAGAATATGTCTTGCATTTCCACCACTCGCTGAGGATACTACAATATTGCTTTTACAATTAGGTAGAGTTAATTCTGCTCAAGCCGCTTTAGGTGACAAATCTGCGGATGCATTGTGTCAAAAAGTTAATGCAACATTTTGTACACTATTATCGAAAGCCATATTGCAATCTCAGATCTATTAATTTTCATTTAAAGAAAAAGATTAGGTCAAAAAAAAGATAATAAATTTTAATTTAAAATTTTTTTAGAGCATTTGTAAATTTGTCATTAAATTTATTTTCTAGTATCATTTCAGATTCAGTAGTGACATTTAATCGTATTTAGGATAGATTGTTGATAGATTTATTGAATATAAACAATTTATCATAAACAAATGTAATATTTATGTTAAATAATGTATATGTATATTGTATAGTGTAAAATAATTATTTTTATATTTATAACTTACTGTTTAGAACTTATTATAGAATATATATACAATATATTCTACTTCTATCTTCTAGATATATGTGAGATATTTGATATTATATATAATATATTATTTAATTTATTTGTTAATGTGAATCTGCTAAATGATACGAGTTTTTATTATTAATTAAAAAAATTATAATTCTATTATAAAAAAAAATAATCGTAAGAGTTAGATATAATTTTGAATTTCATACGTAAAAATATGATTGGTTAGATTAATACTAATTAAACCAATCAAAACAAATTTAAACCTTCCAATCACAAGGCGTACTGTAGCGACCTGCTGTCGATAAGCAGATTTCTACTTTATCCTATGCAACGACTGGCGCCGCCATCCTCACTGCTCATTCTTTGGCAAACTACTTGAGCGTTAGCACTCTATCACAGCTAACAGCGTTTCTATGGGAACGTTAATGTTTCCGTASTTACAAAACTTTCTTCTTCCGTTGTTAGAAAATAAATTAGGGAGTCAAGAAGTTGCACTTACTCAATCCACAACGTATCAATCCTCAACGCATTTTTGTTATCCGTTCTTTTTCTTGTTTTCGTTTTGTTCTGTAATAGTTTATAAATAAAATAAATGTTACATAAAAATAGTAGTGGTGATCAGAGTTCGAACCAATAGTATTCTAGTTCCTGATTCCTGCCGCTACAGTACATCTTCACTAATGCCATCTGTCCCTGTATTTAATTTGTAATAAGTTAAGTATTTTTCGTCTGTTTGTTGTTAATTTAAAACACGTGTTAAAATGCAAATGAAATCAATTAAACTATCTAAATCAATAAGAAATAATTCGTTAGATGTAGATAATTTAATTGTTACGAGAAAAGGTGGTGGATCTATAATTGACCATCGTCCATTATTTTCGGAAGATGGAGAGTAAGTATAGGTTATGTGTGTTAAGTTTCAATATATTAAATATTATTAATTATTATTATCTTAAATAGATAAATATCATGTATTAAATTAACTAAATATTATCGACTTTAATTAAACGAGTTTGTTTTTTTGTATGGCAGAACATTGTATGTTATATGGAAACATACTATACGAGCATACAGTACATTAACTGGAGATTTTGTTCAAGAATTTGAAGGTGTTGATCGTAGGATAACTGGAGTTGTCTCATATCCAGATGTTTTTAATACAGTTATAGGTTGTACAGATAATGGGCAGCTTAATTTTTGGAGTTGTCAAAGTGGTATTATTACAAAAAAATTAGTATGTATCATTTTAAATTACAATTTGCAAATCTTAATTTTAATTTAACAAAGCATCAAAAATTCTAATGTATATTGAATAACTTTTTACAGGACTTAAATTTTTTGTCAGTAGAGCATCCCAAAGTGAAAACTTTTCATATTGTCAAATATAAAAACGCAGTCGGTGTAGATATATCACAAGTTCTCATAACTTATATCTCGCAAAATAACAGCAATATATGCTTGCTATTATTCGACTTGAAAAATGGAAAGTATTATAAACGTCAGTCCATTTCGTAAGTAAATGATATCTTCTTAAATTAATAATTAATTTAAGATTAATAGACAAAAAAATAATTTATATTTATCTTCTTTCAGGACTAAAAATCCTGAGTATTACGTTGATGTAATAGGAAATTATGGGAATAACTTAGTAGCAGTTCTTCACGATACAGATTTACACATATTAGATCCATCACGTAATTTAGTTGACAAATTGTGAGTTTAACTTATTTTATATTTAACTTTTTGACTGAGAGCAATGAAGTCTCTTTCTCTCTAAACAAACATCACAAATAAGTGGTTGATGCAACATTTTTCTTTCGCATGAATTTAATTTCAATTAAGTAATGTTTTATTTCCATGTATATATATATTTTCTTTTAGACATAAAACAGGGAAAACTGGTAGAATACCAACATGCATCGCTGGACATCCTGAAGAAGAATGTGTGGCTACTGGAGATTCTACTGGGCGCGTAGTATTATGGAGAAATTTATTCCAATCTAGGCCATTTACAGCAGTATATCATTGGCATACATTACCTGTAACTGAAATAGTTTTTAGTAAAACAGGTTAATTGTTTAAATATTGTGAATTAAATATTTATTTATATAGAAACTAATTCATCTCATATAAAAATATATTACAGGTAATCATATGTACACCGGTGGTGGAGAATGTGTTTTAGTAAAATGGACTATTGCAGCTCCATCAGATAAATCATTTTTACCACGTCTACCAGCACCAATTAAATATTTGACTATCGCGTCAGATAATATTTACGTTGCCATATCCACCTTAGATAATGGTAATATATGTTTAATTGAATATTTTTATTAATATTTTATAATTACATAATTATCTTATTGATATATTAATATTATTTTTATATAGGTATTAGTGTTATAAATCCGCAAAGAGATTTAATATCTGTAATACAAAATCTAACATGGGGTATTGCATTATCCTGTAAAGATTTATTCCCTGCTGGGCTCGTTGTAGATCCACGTACCAATAGTCTTGTTTTAAATAGTCGTACTGGGCATGTCCAGTTTTATAATACACATACAAAAAGTTTATTGTACAATGTAAGTATATTTTAGTGTATATAAGTACACATTTGTAATGTAAGTTTATTAACATATTTATTTAATTGATATTATCTTTCATGTATTTCATTCATAGATTCATATAACAGCTGAAAATTTTATTACACGAGAACGAAGTGTGAATACTTTAAACACTGAAGTAACTAAAGTAGCATTGAATCATGATGGTACATGGATGGCCTCAGTGGAAGAACGCGATGATAAAGTTTCAGCTCCTGAAGTGAGATTAAAATTTTGGTCATTTGATTCGAACCAACAAATGTAAGTTAAATAATATGTATGTGTATGAATTATTAAAACTTTGTATTAATTAATTACATTTAAATGTAATCATTATTAATTAAATTTCTAACAGTTTTACATTAAATACATCGGTCGAACTTCCACACGAATTAGGAGTTAATGCCTTACAATTTCAAACAAATTCATTATTCGGTGACGAAGATCCTTTAGTTGTAACTACTGGTAAAGATAAGAAATTTAAGTTATGGAATCTTGTAGAGCCAACATCGATTTATAGTAAGAAATATTTTATAAAATATAGAATTATTCTTATAATATTAAATATTATTTTTGTAAAGTAAACGTAATATTTATTTTTATATTTTATAGAAAAAACGAAACATTGGCATTGTTATGGCGTAGGAAATTACCATGAACTATCAGCTACAGATGCTGCATTTTCAATAGATGGTTCTTTATTAGGAATCGGTTTTGGTTCGTCATTAACTATTTGGGAGCCTGATACGTGTACTTTAAGGAGTAGTCTTACACATAGTCAATATGCACATACCATAACGTAAGTGATATTACATCACTGAAATATTATCAAATAATATAAAAGAAATTTAACTTTATGTTGTGTTTCTTATTAGGCGCATCGAATTTGGGAAACAAGAAGCTTGTAATTTGATTGTCGTTGCTTCGGACAAACATATTGCTGTCTGGAATATTTTATCTCTGAGTATTACATGGAGTGTTTCTTTAAATGTAACTAAACTAACAGCCGATTCCAAATCCATTCATATGGCTGCTTTCACTACAGAAAATACGTGTAAATATTATAAAAATTTTCTATCATTTAGATTTATATTATATTATTTAATATTTTATTATTTATATTTTTTTAGTGTACATTTTTAATCCACAAAATTCAACTCCAGTATACGTTAAAAAATCCATCATCGAAAACGACAGTTCAATATTAGGAGCTGTTTTCGTACCACGTTTGCAAGATAGTAAAGATTCCTCTAATATGCTATGGCAGAAGAAATCACAATTATATTTTATAGATTCGAATCAAGTATGTTTTCTCACGTATCAATAAGATTAAATATTATTATGTATATTTTAATAATTGATTTTTATTTTTATTATCTTTAGGAACTTCTGTGTTTGGAATCAGAATCCGAAATAGGAGACGCTTTAGAAATCTTCTCAAGAAATCAAACAGCTTTAACTCCTTTCACGAATTTTATAGCATCTCAGACTGTATCAAGTAGGGAAGAAAATAATTCCCTCGTACAGGAATCTTATCGTATTTCAGGAAAAGATAAAATAGACGAGGTAAGACATAATTCTTTTTATTTTTTTTTATTTGTTTATTCATATATTTAATAACGTTAGAGTTTCGTCAGGGTTGTGTTACATTACAATTTCTTCGTAGTATAAAAATTATTAATTCTTAGATTATTAGTGTACAGGTATAAATATTTAATTATGAAACAGTTCAATGTTTTCTTCCTAAACGATAATTTCGGCAACGACGTAAAAGATTAAATTTTCTAATACGTAGACAATGCCATTGAGGAATTTGTCTCATATTTTTTATTGCCTATAAAAAGATCAGATATTATAAATAATTATTTAAAAGTAAATTAAAATTTCTTTTATGTTCAATAGAGTTTTAAAAATACTTACTGTTTCAGTATCGGTAGTAAGATATCCTTTTGTAATGACTATTAATAATGTCAATATGAAAAAGCAAGGGAAGAAATATTTTCCAAACAATTTCATTTTTATGAAAATGTAAGCCAAGCAAAATCCTTACTTAGAAAAATCTTAAGAGTTGAAATTGATCTTTTTTTTTTTTTTTTTTTTTTTTTATAAATTTTGCAATCGAATTATTCACGGTGAAATGTGCACAATGATGATGAAGTCAAAGTCGTACAATAAGAATTGATAAATAATAAACGTGTAAGATTTATTTAGGATTTGTGATATCCTTTCAACGTTTGACATGTAACTGGCTTTATGAAGTAGTCTTGCCATGATTTAATATGGGAGTTGCTTGGCTTTATACTCCCACCTTCTAATAATCTTATAACCCGGACCTCCATTTTCCTGAAATTTCTTAAATGCGTCATTCAACCAACATTCTTACCCTGTTATTGTAAATTAACTTCAATTCAGAAATTACGTTCTTTTTGGAAATTATCAATCAAAAGTATAACAATGTTTTCTGTAGTAGATATTTAATAAATAATATTTCAATCCTATTTAGATAGAGCTTAATATAATTAAATTAGAATATAATTAATAAAATAAAGGATTAACTTATGATAAACATATGGTAAAATTTTTTGTAATGCAAATATAAAAATAAAAAAAAAATCATTTATTTTTGAGATCAGTTTCTACAATATACAAATTTTAGTTTGGATATATATATACATGTAAAAAGAAAATATAAATCACTAAGTGTACAATGACCCTTTTTCACGTTAAGTTCATCGTTTTATAAATGAGGTCATAGTATCTCTGTGCGTCATTATGAAAAGAGATTCAAAGAATTAGTACGTGTAAATTACACCAACCGTAATTGTCTCTATTATGGTCTGAACGTAAAGTTTATTTTCAGTTTCCATTCTACTATATATTTTTACGTCATTTATTTCTTACGTCAATCCATTACTATTGACGTATTTTAAATACAATCTGTATCAACTTACTCGTTAGATTTTTCACTGTATTAATTTTTTCTATAAATAGAAACATACATCTAAAAATACTAATTGATTAAATATTTGATTTAAATGTATTTTATTAGGAAAATAATATAATTAATATTCTAACTAATTCATATATTGTAAATGCTTTTTAATATTTTTATTTTTTTTTTATTTATTAGATCTTCAATGTTGCTGCTCATACATTACCACCGATGAGAATGCTTTGTGCAACTTATTTACTGTCTTTGCTATCACAAAAAGATCAATCTTCAAATAATATATTGTCAAGGTAATAAAAAATTAAATACTTAATTTAATAAACATATAATTAAAATAATTATGAAGATTTAAAAGAAAGATATAAAGTTTCACAAAATATATTTTTTTTAGACCGGACGATCATAATGATGATCTCAATGATTCGGAAGACGCAGAAGACTCCGAAAATTCGGAAGACGAAGAGATAAATGAAGAAGAAGATAATATTAAACGTGTAAAAACGATAAAACAGGAACCATCGCCAGTTTCAACGACAATGGGTGTTGATAAACCCAATCAACCATTAATTAATCACGATTGGTCATTTTTAAAAACTATAGTACTTCCCCTTGGAAAAAGTACTGAAACATAAGAAATATTTTGTTTATATGAATATTATTAAAATGTTTAATAATGAAATTTAACAGGGAACTTGAACATGAAAGAAGTAGAACTATGTTTGATTTAGTTGGACGTTTCGTCCCTTTATTGGGACTTCTTCAGCAACTTAATCTTTACAGTTCAGCGTCTTTTTTCTTTGAGTAGACATACATTTTTCTTTTTATTATTAATATTCAAAACACAAAACATCTAAACTTCGTTAAATTGATCGTTATTATTTAAGTTCCTCAACAAAACTTTTGGACGAGAGAAATACTAAATAAATTATTAAAATGTTTTAAAAACAAAAATTAACAGAATATGTTTGTCGTAATGTATGAATATAAATAAATATTGATAAGTTACTTTTTAAAAAAGGTGAAAACAAATTTATTTAATATTTAAAAAGAATTAATTTTTTTGTTTTTTTTTATTATTTAATTAACATGGTACAGGTAATTCGTCGAAACGCTGAGCTATTTCAATTAACTCTTCAATCGTTTCCGTAATTCTATTAGCATATTCCAAATCTTGTTTCATATTATTTATAACAATATCAGTTCTATCGTGGAAAACAAATTCAGTATAACAATTGGTATCATTCAGAATTTGTGCGCTGAGAGTTTCATCCATTAAAACAGTTGGAAAATATATCATAGCAGTTATCAAAGAACCTAAACGTTGTTCTTCTATTCCTTGAAGTAATTCAGACCAAGACGGGTATTGTCCGGAAAATTGATTAGCCCTTAGAGTATCGCAAAGAACTTTGTAATAATGTTTTAACATATCTTCTTCGCGTGTTTCTCGAAAACGACGGGATGTACATAGATAAAGTAATTGAGAAATATCGTGCGCTATAGTACAATATCTAAGTAATTGAAAATCAATTAAGAGACATTTTGGAGGCGTTTCTTTGTTAAACATCAAATTGTTAGCCCAAAGATCACCATGACTGATAACGTTTGATTTCTTTGTAGAACTTTTAATAGTTTCCAAGACTTTTAGTGCAACTTTTGGTATCCAGCTCGAATCGAGGCCAAGATATTTAGCGATTTGAATACCTGCATTGACTCCTGTATCAAACCAATTTTTTCTTTGTCCCATCATGAAAAATCCTGTTTCTTCGAATGCTTTAGGAAAGAGTTTGTTAAACGGCATCCCTAGACGATATTCTGCCATTAACGATGCAGCATGCATTCTTGCAATCGTTGTCAAAGCTGAGGTGACAAGTTCCTCGTCAAAAAGTTTACTCCGCATTGTGTACTCTTTCCTTTGTAAGTCTTCGAATATTAAATAATTTTCTTTCACTTTATAACAATTTGGACTCCAACGTTCTTCTCGATAATTTTCGTATAGTATTGGTATTATTTCTTTGTAAAATGTTACTTCCTTATCGAAAATACCGTTTCCTATTATATAATTTGCTTGATCAGGTACGTCGTATGGTATGATTTTCGCAAAAAAGAAAAAAGTCTTTTTCTGATTCTTATGTTTTATCGTAATGCAAAGTTTTTGATGCGAACCGAGGAAGCCAATTTTTCCATCTGAATATGGTCGAAGAAAATAGTTAATTACCTCGACATTTTGATTTAAAACACGATGAACTATTTCTTGAATATCTTCCGTAGTCAGCACACTTTGGTACATGTCTTTGTTAGATATTAAATTTTCTTCAAATTTAAAGTCAGAATTAGATACAATTTGGACTTGTTGGTCGGTCGTTGCTGCTGACATTTTCGACTCTTGCAGTCTCTTTCTCATCTTTCTCTAGTTTTCTAGATTCATTTTATATTCCTTTTTATATAGCATTTAATGAAATTTCCACAATATGAAGCATTTATCACATTTATATTTGTTTACTAAAAAAATCTGCAGCCTGAGACACCTATCTCCAATCTCTGCATAAATGATAATATCTTATTTATATCACCGATGATAAGAATCGTAGGATATTAAGAAAAGTATTTGGTACAGTGCATTAAAGTAAATTTAATTGTTCTAATAAATACACATACTCGTGATTTTTTTATTAACAATGATTTATTGATCTTTATTATATCATCAGATTATTACTAAGAATTATGACTAAATTACTATATAGTGTTTTATAATATTAGTTTATTTTTTAAATAAACAAACCTAATAATGTGCCTATATCAAGAAATCAATAGAGTTGATTAGGTTTTATCATTCATGCGATTTCATCATGACGAAGAAAAAACCAATAAGGTATCTCGAAGAAACTGAGAATACTGGCACCCATAAATAATCCTAAAGCACTTCCTACTGCAACTGAATATAACAATTTCAATTAATATTTACATAGAAGATTATTCGTAATGAAATTTTTCATCAATCTATTTACAGGTTGTATATTATCGTTAAATTTGGAAATATTTATTGATAAGATATTCTCACGTTCATAATAAATCATTTTTATGATATCTTATAAAATGACTTATTACATCATCCAAAAGAGATCAATATTGATTAAAGTTACAAGAAATAGACAAAAAAATAAAAAATTTCAATTTACTTTTCAGTATTATTTTAATCTAATAGAACATATTTTTACCTATCAAATCTAAAAGACTGCGTACAATGAATCGACGATATTGTACTAATGGACGAGACAATGATATGAGATCTATTCTTATTATATCGTCATCTACATCACTGTACTCTATGGGGTTGCTATGATATCTGCAATAAAGATCACATTATATCATTAAATTGTTCATACAATGAAACATATATACGATAAGAATTCTTACACATTTGTTGTAGTTCCTTCGCAGAGAGGATAACATTTTTTATTTACATTTGTAACCAATAGAATATCCTTTTTATTTTCTGATAAACATAGTAATTCAGTTAAATTACATGTTCTTGCACCAGCAGGAACAGGATAATAAAAACTTACGCAACCGCAATACTTAATCATTTTTTGTATATATACCTATTAGAAAAAGAAAAAAAGAAAGAAAAATATGAAAAGATAAAAAATTATATATATACAGGGTTGCATTAGGGTTCCGAGATGTCAAACTTTTGGCTGTAAAAATCTCGAACACCCTGTATAAACGTCTATTTAAAATTATACCTCTATAGCACAAGAATCAGTGCTATAAATTTCGTACATACTGTCCTTATCAATCTCATGACTAAATCGACAATTTCTTTGTTGTATTAAAGAAGATTGTACTTGTTTCTCATTATGTGTAGGCACCATTGCAAATTCAATTCGAGTGGAACTGCCTTTTCTCATGTTTGTAATTATGTATTCAGCCAAAGTACCAGATATCGGTAATTGCAAGTTATCCAATATGTATACCTACATTATTTAATTGTATAGAAATAAAAATAGTTTAAATAATTAGGAAGAGAAAAGAAGGAACATACGAACATTAATATACCGAGGAATATAAGCTATTGTCTTTTGATTTGCTATAAGATCGATCACAAAATTTCCACTCTCGGTAGTACCATTAATCCAAAATTTAATATTTGAATTGTCATATGGTTTGAAATGTTTGGAATTAACTGCATAACAATAACCAATGCCGGTCTTGTTTAATGCCTTGAATTCCTTGCAACAATCAAATTTTACGTTATTCCAAATGCAATTAGCAAATATTTCTCTACATGGTATTTGCACCTATAAAAATAATAATTATATATATATATATATTTTTTAATATTTCATTATTTAAATAAGTATAATATTGATAAATATACTGATTGATAAGCTTTCAATAATTCATCGGCAGTAACACCCTGTTTTTCTTTAGATGAAAATTCCAATGTCGATGGTTGTCTACAAAATTGTAATCATAAGAGAAAAGAATATGATAAATAATTAGCAATAATTTAATATTATTATTTTTATTTGATGAACATACTGTTTAAACTTGTAGCTGATTTTTAATTCATTGGAAGATTTAATGCAAACTGCAATTGAAGGAAATGGAGTTTCCCAATTAACGTATAATGTATCTGAGGTAACGTCAACAGGATATTCATTATATTCCGAGACACTGTTCATAATTACTTCGGCACAACCCCACCAGCTCAGTACACAAAATAGAAGCCAAAATAATCTTCAAAGTACACGAAAAAGTGTTACTATTTCAAAATATTATATTTTATAATAATTATTTCCTATTATTTTACCGTTCTAAATATAAACAATTTTCAGAAACAAGATATTTAACGCCATGGATAGTGCAATTGCTTAAATATCGTTTAAGCACTTTCCAAAACCAAATGAAACCTTGCAATATTTTAGACAATACAGCTTTTTTATTTTCCATAGTAAATGTTCAGTTCGATTGATGAGTTTTGTTGGTTTCACTCAGAGATACTTAAATAAAAATGTCGTTTAACAAAGAATTATAAAAAGGAAGATTATAATCTTTACATTGGAACACATATTCTTATAACGTAATGTTATAAAATATGCAAGAGATACTTAAATATTTAGAAGTTCATTTATATTTCAAACATTTCTTTCGTGATCATGCTATTTTTGCTATCATTTTTATATCTACACGTTCTTTCTACTATAACGCATTGATGTTTACATAATTCATTGTAACATATCAATGAATTTATAAAAATTAAAAAAAAACCAGATATAAAAATATTTTAAAATTTTTAGATATATTTTACTTTATATTATTATTATTATTATTATTATTTATATCATTGGAAAAATATAACTTCATCTGCTATAATAGCTGTAGTAGGTCTCATATTTCCTTCTTCGTCTTTGAATTCGCCATAACTTAATCTTCCATTTACCAAGATGCGTTGACCTTTCTTCAAATGATTACTAACACTTTCTCTGAGATAAGGTTTAAAAACACATATTCTATGCCAATCAGTCTTTTGCATATATTCGCCTAAAACAAACAAAAAAATAATAATATTAAATGAATAGTACATATAAATTTTGTATAAAGTAACTCATTAAAATTAATAGAAACTCATATATGCATACCGTTTTCATACTTATAATTGAGATGGGTTGCCAATGAGAAAACCACTACAGGGTGTTTTTCAGTTCCACGCTCTTGTGGATTTCCACCAACTCTTCCGAGTAATGTTACTTGATTAATAGCTATAATAATATTAATAACAATTATGTTTTAATATTAAATTTCTCTATATAATATATTATATCCTTTATATATATATATAAATATTCCCTATGTACAATATACATAATATATTACATAAATTATTACAAAAAATAATAATAATAATAATTATCTTCTATACTTTTTTCAATAGTATGTGGTGCATTTGCTTGCGAAGAGAAGTATACATTTTTTAATAGATTTGTTTGAATGCACCCATGCGATATAACCTGCAAAATACATAAATGTAAATACAATGTTAGATAGTCACATGTAAATTAGGATTAACATAATAATTAAAATATTTGTTGATAATTTCTCACCTTACGAAACATTGCGACAATTGTTGACACTAATTTTTGTTTTTTCTAAATAGAAAACAACAAAACAATTTTTGAACTAGTAAACTTTAGGGTGGATTCTGAAGAAAATTTTCCTATATATATATATATTACACAATAAAAACTAACAAAATTTTAAGTATTTCGAATTAATTAAATTACGGATAAAAATTCAACTACAATTGTAAAATAATTATTTAGGGAAATAAAATGAAACGATATATTGTATTGTTTAAAATAACTTAATATTCGATTTAATATTTATACCTGTGAACTAGGCTGAATGTAGTTTACAATACAAACAATCGGTAAGCGTGTAAGGTTTTGAGAACACATTCAGTTATTGTGACCCAACGGTAAGATTCTCGAACACATTTACTCGAATATTATTTTCTTTTAATATTGAATTAAGATTCTATTGTGCTCTTTGTTTTAATATTTGAAAAGGTAGGAAGTTAAATGTTAGTGAATAAATCAACGGTTGAATTAACATTAATTTTATTAATAAATACATGCATAAATAAATATAAATATTATACATAGAAATAGGAGGAGAAAGTAAGGGAAGATATATAATATAAGTAAAATCAGTGTAGAAAATAGAATGTATTTTAGAACGTAAATTAATGAAATATTGAAAATTTTTTATTTTTGGACTAGAGAAGGCTGTGAAACTGACAAAAGCGTGGCGCCATATTGCGTGCTTGTGTTTAGTTACTTTTCTGGCGCGTGGTCAAGAATTATTATACTCTTTAATTAATAACGATGTCCGAAAATCAGGTAAGCGTTATTTCAAGTAATAATACTATAAATTATTTGTAGAAAACATAAAGTTAGTAATAAATAGTAAATTATACAATCGATTGACCGAATCTAATCGAAATCTAACCTTGTGTATTAGGAACAGAAACCTGAAGCCGGCCCAGGAGACGCGAATTCAGAATACATCAAGCTCAAAGTTGTTGGAAATGTAAGAATTTTTAAAAATTATTTATTGTCAATTTTTTTTTAATCCCATTATTATGTTTTCGACAAGTCAATTAAATTTTACGTAAATAATTTTTTTAGGATAGCAACGAAATTCACTTTAGGGTAAAGATGACCACTCAAATGGGGAAGCTTAAGAAATCTTATAGTGATCGCGTCGTAAGTATCTCATACTATTTATATTATTTTCTTTGATTTACTTGTTTGATGTATTTTGTATTTTATATATTCTGTAATAGTTATCGGTTAGGAAAGTTATTTTTGATGTATTATTTTGATATATTTTTAACAGTACGGTGTAATGTAACCTTATAATCTTATCTCGTTTGAATTAGGAACTATCTATGATATTGAGATTTCTTTTTGATAGTAAAAGGAAACACTAGCTCACATAAATTACATTTTATATATTCTGTAATAGTTATTGGTTGTAAAATTTCTTTTTGATGTATTATTTTAATATGTTTTTAACAGTATGTAGAGCAAAGTAACTTTATAAGCTTATATCATTTTAATTAGGGTGTACCTATGACATCACTGAGGTTTCTTTTTGATGGTAAAAGAATTAACGATGATGAAACACCAAAGCAGGTAATTTGATTCAATTTAATATATAAAGATTTATATAAAGTTATTTATGTTTTGCGTTGAGTATATCATTAACGATGAAAAAGTATGATTTATATATATGTGTAGGAACGTATTAAAGTGTAGAGGTTAATAATAATGAATTTCAGCTTGAAATGGAAAACGATGATGTTATTGAAGTATATCAAGAACAAACAGGTGGTCTTTACTGAAATAATTATTAAAAATTATATCATGCAAATTTTTGGTTTTCATATTTTATAAAGTGAAAGTGACTATTACACATAAGAAATGGACAAGTTAATTAATATGCATATGTATGTTAAAGAAAAAAAAAACAGTATGTAGTTTCATTTTCATATAATCTAAATGTGTTGTTCTACATTCCTCTAACAAGGCAATTTTTTAAGGACCAGCAACACAATCACTTCTTTTTGTAATGTATAGTATTATCGGTTTCAAAAAATCAGTTCATAAAACTAATTATTGAGGCCCTGAAGAATTCCCTACGAATACTCTTTTCATAATAATACACAATAATTTCTGTTTAATGAATTAGCTGTAGAATGTCCAAAGGAACAAAATAATCCATAAAACCAATAAAAATAAATAAATATATACTTTTTATTAATTACATCAAAAGTAATTGCAGTGAAAAAAGGGAATTTAAAATAAATATGAACGTGATTCATTAAAATTGTTGCGTTTAAAGTAAATCTGTAATAAAAAAAGAAAAGTAACAACGATAATATTCTTATTTTACCCTTTTTACAAATACAGTGGTTCTTTAGAGAACGTGTAAAAATGTGTGATGTGTGTGCGTGTTAGTTTTTAGAGACTTATAATATTATTCTGATTTATTAATACAAAAATTATAATATTTCCTAAATAAAAAAGATTTACACAAAATAATGAAACTTTTTGTGCAAATAATGCGGATGCTTAGCTACTCTTAAAGTAAAAATCTTTTATCATGTAAGAAAATTTTTAATCCGATCAATATAAATGAATTAATTTACGATAAAAAAAAATAATGCACGTCGAGCAATAAATATTTTAAAATTATATAAAGGATTATATAATTAAAAGATATTTTATTAACAAAAGAAATAAAAAGAGGCATAATCATCATAATCGTACTTGCTATGTCAGTTTGTCGCATGTCTATTTCCATATTATTTCTATATAAATATATAACAAAGCATCCTCATTATATTAATTATCCGGTAATTGGAAATAATACAATTTTTACAATTGTAATAAAGTCTATATTCTAGTGGAGAAAGGCAGACGAATATTTCTTTCTGTAATGATGTAATAAAGAAAGTCATTCTAACAATACTATATCTTATATATATATTTTTCTTTTTTATATATTCACAATAATTATACGAACGTGTTAATTAAATAATAAATGATATTATTTTTATATAAGGAGTATTACTATATACATAGAGATGATTTAAGGGTTTACAAAAAGAAATGTTTCATATTATTATTGTTTGAGAACAAATTAATATATTTCAAAATTAAATTGTTTTATAATTATGTTACCTTAGAAAATATATGTTTATATATTTATATATATATATATGATTTGCAAATAAGCAATTAATGTTTGACGAAGCGACAATCAAGGCATCGTTTAATATACACATTGAAAAATACTTACAATAATTTTCTATTACGATAACAATTATTATCTAATTACAAGATGTGTGTTTGTGATTAAATATCTATTTAAAACTTAAATGTAAAATATTTCAATTAATTTTTCAAATATAGTAATAATAATTAATAATAATAATAATGTTATCTTGTAGAAACGTGATAAAATTGCATATCACTTTCTCTCTCAGTTGACTCTGCTTTTAATATAGAACGCGAACTTTTTAAATTTCCATCACAGTAGTATATATCTATTATAGAGGAGGATTAGAACCACCATATCGAGGTAGTGTAGCGTAATTACCATACCCATAAGCACCATATGCACCTGGTGGTAAAGCTTGATTATATCCACCTAAAAGACCAAAAGAAAAAAGAAGACATAAATACGAAAGCAAAAAAAAATAAAATGCTAATATTTCATACATTGAAATTTTTTAATGACATACCTTGCGTAGGATATGGCATAGTTGCATATGGATTATATGTTGTTGGCATTGGTGGAGGCATATAAGTTGGATACGGGGCTACAGGAGTTGCACTATATGGTACAGGCATTGATCCATGATGTTGAATAGGATACGGTAAATTTGGCGCTGCTGGATTCTCTGGATTAGATTGTTTTTGACTCGCATTAGCTGTGAAGTACAATTATCGAAGGGAAATTTAAGTTTATGTATTTTGTAACACTCGTAATCATTTAAAAAAGAATATTTTTATATATTTAATGATTTTTCTACCTTCATGATGAGATGGAATACTTGGTGTTGTAGCTGGACCGGTATGACTTAAATTAGTCGTTAAATCTTTTAATAATTCTTCTTTCTCAGTTTTACGAGCGAAACAAAAGTCCGATATCTTATTTTGGAAAATGACTAAAAGCTGGAAATATAATAATTTCATTTTAATTAATCCGAATATATTTTAATTAACGATAAACACTAATGATTAAATAATAACTAATATTACCTGCGTTAAATCATTGTAAAATTGGATTCCTTCGTTCAAATGACTCTTCAATTCTTTAAACGTGTCATATGCAGAGGCCAATTTACAAAGCATAGTTTCCCTTGAACTTCCGCTACCAGATTGTTCGTTTGTAAACTTTGCATGAGTACTCTAGAAAAGAAAAAAGAAAAGTAAAATCGAATGAAAATAATTCTATGAATAAATTCTCATCACTGATTTTTAGAATGATTGAAGTGTAATATATGCATGTAATACCTGAATATCAGCTATCAATTGTTCTTGACGAGCCAAACTTTCTCGTACTTCTTTTTGCAAAGGTCCATAACACTTTCCAATACTTTCGACAGATAAGTTCGGTTCGTCGATAGCTCCACTCTTTGAAAGAGCATTCAAAAACGTTGTTTTCATATCTGTCGTAGCTGATTTTAATTCACTTTCAATTACATCACGTTCCGCTTTTAATGTTTCTACCTGAAAGTAGTAAGTGTGATTATTCGTGTAATATAGTTAAATAGAAACATATAAAACTTATTGTAAAATTGAAGATCTTACATCTTCCATCAATTTTCTTAACTGCATGACTACGTTACTTTCTTGTACCGCTGATCCATTAGGTACAGCCATAGATAATTGACTTTCATCCATACTTAGGATTTCTATACCTTCTTGATGAGTTTCATATTTATTACGAACTTCCTAAGTAACAAAGATAATGATGTAATTTTTGCATTAGTATGAAATACATATTTATAAATTAATTATATATATTATGAGATTATTTTGTTACCTTATCCGCGGAGACAGCTCTATTAATAATTTCACGATATTTACGTGCATTAGCAATAAATTGTTCCGTTAATCTAGCACTGGATATTCTTGTCCAACGTTCTTTAAATTGTTCTCTTAATTGATCGTCAGATTCGCGTTCTTCTTTAAGCATTCGTTCGCACTATAATTAAAATTAGAAATAACATTGATTATAATAATTGATTATATAATAATTATAATTAAATTTCATTATTTACTTCATCTAATAATTCCTGATTCCTTTGTAATAATTCTGGGAGTTCTTTCATCGCTGCTTCTAAACTTGATTTACCACCGGCTTCTCGCACATAATTTGCTTTTTCTAACAACGATTGCGGCAATTCGGTTCCACTAGTATCTTCGATAGCTGCTGGTAAATTTAAACTTGCTAATACACTGTAAAATAAAAAATATATTACGTTTAATTATAATAATTTTATAAATATGTATTTCATATATTGTTTTATATATAAAATAATTATACCTGTTAAGAACTTGTGTCATCTCTCGTAATTTGGATATTTCTGAATTAACAAGTTCATTACGACGAACTTCGTAAGAAGACATAGCTTGATGTACACGGACTGGCAATAATTCCTCAAAGAGATCTAGAAACATAAAATTATTAACACACATAATTAATATTAATATAATATAATAATAAATAAATAAATAAATAACAACAAAATGGAACCTTTAAAGTTGGAACTTAATACTTCAGGCATTTGCACTAATTTTGCTACATGAGCCTTTCCAACTGGTTCTAAAGTTTTGATATCTGGAATTCTTTCATGATAGATAAAATCATTGTCCTTTTTAACTTCGGTTAAATTCCTTTGCGCTTTGTTAGCATATTCTTGGAATAAATTAGGCTTGTTGGATCGTTGCTGAGCAGCCTTAAATAATTCAACGGCGTGCTATAAAAAATATATGAAAATATTTTTGTTAAAGCAATTATTATATTTTACATTTAAACGTTTTAAATTATATAATAACAATTAAAATTTACTTCTACTCTTGCTATTTCTTCTCCAATGCATTTATTATTTCTACATACAAGCGACTGATAAAATTCCATCATCGCACGATAGCCAGCTTGTTTACCTGCGATCTAAAATAATGATAAAATATGAGTAAAAAATAAATAATATTATTATTATCATCACCATCAAAGTGTTAAATAAAAGGTAGAGTAAAAAGTTTACCAAAGGAACCCATTCTTTGTCCCAAAATGCACGAAATATTTCTTTTTGGAATAACTTCAAAGCATCTGCATACAATTCTTCAGCTTGTGCAGCCAATTTTGCAATAATAACTTCCTTCATAGAATCATGAATGGCTTTATGGACAAAAATTTCTTGAGCTTGAGCTAACATCAAGGAAGATAATGCGCCTAATGTTTCAGGACTAATGTCAGGAGTTGGTTCTTGTTGAATTGCTATCATGACGGTTCCTTTTAAATGATTAAAGATAGCGGCGGATAGCTAAAATTTATTTGTAATTTAATTTAATTTCGTTTCGTCGTATTAATTAATCGTAGATTTAAAACGACAACAAAGAGACTAACTTGAAACAATTTAGCAGCCAGTTTTAATCCTTCATCACTTTCCAAGGATTGAGTTGCAGCAACTGAACTTTGTAAGGCAGCAATATTGAAGAGTACACAAACCTTTTCATAGGCCAAAGTACTAATCGCTGTAAACAAATAAACGTATTTTGAATTAATTATATTTTCTGTAACACATTTATGTTGTAAAGGTGGATGATTTTATTATTTTATTATTATATTTGTTGCACATGTAGGATTTATTAGGGTGAAAGATATTTTTAGTGATAATTGAAATTAAGTACGTTATCTTATCTCAATAACTTAAGTGGTAACCTTTCTATCTATATTATAATGAAAAAAAAAATTAATAATAAAAATATGCCAGTAAAAGAAATAATTTAATAATTATATAATTAAATATAATTCATACTTAAACTCAACTTTCCACCAAAAATCGTACGATCAAATGCATCTTTCCATTTAAATGGTATTTGTAATTCGTGCGCAGGTATCTTCCCTTCTAAAGCACATAACTGGTCGTAATAGCTATAACAAAGATACAAAACGTATACTATTTAAAAAAGAAATGATTTATTAAAAAAATCAATGATAAAAAATAAATATGTAATTTTCATGTATGTACAGTACGTCTGCATAAATGCACCTATACATTCGTTAAAAAATAATTTATTAATTGTAATAATATAAAAAATTATGATACGTATTTACAAATTTAAATGACATAATTTA